GGGCCTGGGGATGTTTTAAATTGTTTTTCCTTCAAATTACTTGATTTTCTTTTTTTAATTGAACTTGTTTCTTTTTTAAGAATCAAGTATGTATAGCACTTAAAAAAAAACAAAAACAAAAACAAAAAAAAAAAAAAAAGAAACACACAACAACAATTCATGCCTATTTGCACCTAGTTTCATCCTGAAGAGACATCAGGATAACATGGAGTTTGTATAGCTAGAATAGCCCAAGAAGCATCCTGTACATCTTCAGAGCTGGAAGTAATTAAAGGGTACATTCTCTGGTGGGTATTATGGTAGGAGCAACCAATTAACCCCCTTTTAAAACAACCCCTTCTGTTAGGGTAGATTATTGTACTATGCTGTCTTTTTAATGTTTTGCTATCACACAAGTATTAGATTGGTGGATATGGATACAAGAGCAACAAACTTTAATATTAGTTCTTTGTGTATGTGCTTTCTCTTAAATGGATGTTCATTTTATACTATAATAATGCTTCATTGTATTGACATCTATGGGGAATCTTACTTAAAAGATCATGGGCAGTAAATCTATAACTACATATTTTTCTTAAGTTGCTGCAGCAGACAGAAATGCACTTCAAATTGTACAGGCTGGGTTATCTTGGGGTTTTTTTGTTTGTTTTTTGGGTTTTTCTCTCTTGTTTTTTTTTTTTTTTTTTACATTTAGTTGCAGTAAAAAATACTGTGGCTGTTGAGGATGAACTTGAAATGTCCAGCTTTGAGGGACAGATTACAAAAATGCAAAAGATGGAAGGGCAGAATCAGGTCAACAGATGTTCTGTGTGCTTGAAACTGCTTGATTACCTTGGGCCATTACTAAATGTGATCTGAGTGTACTTAAATTTATCCTATGGCACATGCTCATTTAAACAAAAGTGCTCGTTTTCTGTTGCTGTGTCCTGTTAGCTGTTGGTTCTCTTGTACTCGAGATACCAGATTCAGCTGAAGAATGTAATGTGATTAAAATTTCTCCAGATCACTCCAATTACTTGTGTTTTTTGGGTTTTTTGTTTGTTTTTTGGGTTTTTTTTTGGGGGGGGAGGGGGTTGGTATCTGATGGATGAAGTAAAGTTTTTCATGTAATGTATATAAAGGTCTGCAAAGACACCCTCTCCATTTGGTAGAGGTGAACAAATGGTAAAGAATACTTGGCATTTCTTAGTTCAGTTTCAACTCAGTAACTAAAAGAAAAAATTTGTGATACATGATCTCATCTTGATAGATAGCTTATGTGATTGTCAATACTGCATTTTAAAGCAATAAGCCATTTATTTTCAGCAGTGTCATTAATCTAACAAAAGATAGCACAGTGCAACACAAACGGAAATTGAATATCTGATGTGTTTTGATATCCCAAAGGCGATAGGAATAAAATCAACTTGTTGGGTGTAGTGACAAGCAGGACTAAAAGAATTTGGGTTTGATTAGATCAAGTTCCATAGTAAAATAACGTGCTTGTTAGTACTTTCATACTATAAGACTAATAGGCTTGTGATGCTGCGGGCAGGTATTCTTCAAATTGGTTACTCCCTTGTATTTGTAGTATCTTTGTATTGAAGTTTTAGATCATTTCCTGATCAAAGGGACTCTTTTTTTATATTTGAGTAAAGTTGAAATTAACTTTGCTTATTTTGAAAATAATTTGGCCAAGTTAGTAGAACATTCTCAAAATTATACCTTAGCCTTTGTTGGAAGGTCATCACAAATTACTGGATTAGATGCATTTATCAGCTCTTTCTAATTCAGATGCATGTGTATCTTTGTAATAATGGAATCAGTTGAAGATTCAGGGAGTGGGAAAAAAGTCTTGTGGCATCACTGGTGAGGTTTACATTAGAGGGGAGTGTGGAGGAGTAAGGTTCACAGTTGTATAACTTAATTAGATTTGAAAAGTCCGTAATACTCTACTAACTATGATCTCTGCCTTTATTGCTGGTATTTTGTCACTGCTCATACCATAACACGTGAAGCACTTGGTTTTGTGGGAAGCATGAATGAAGAGGGTTGGCTTTTGAACTTACTTACTGCTATGACCAGAGGCAGTTAATGACCTTTTCCTCCCATTTCTTTTACTTACTTTTAGCTTTCTGGATAACAGGAAGCTACATACGGCAATTACTGAACTGTCTGTGTTTGAGTGGGCAACTAGCATACCCATGCAGTCATACCTGTTACCACTGTATGGTCAGGTGAGCTGAGGAGACCCCCTTATTTTTTATCTGCCATGGACTAAACAGATGTCTTCAGGAATTGTATGTGCTCTAGTCCATGCCGTGTTTAGGTTTGCTGTGGGAAATGAGTCTTTTGGGGAAGCCAGCTGTTGACAAGTTGGGTTGAAGCTAGCTGAAGCTATATGGGGTGGCAGAAAGTATTTTTTTTTTAAGTAAATGGACTAATAAATAATAGCTGTTTGGGTCATAAGCCTTGTGTCTCCACAGAACTGCTAAAAATGAGGGGTACAGTCCAGCCAATTTGTTCATACACAGAGTTGATCTTTAGTGCTTAACCCATCATATTCTTACAGATATAATACAGAAGTTGCTTCTGTGCCTTCATTTGCCCTTCATGTCATTCTAATTGCAAGCTATGGAGCTAAATGAGAATTTATCTTCAGCTTTTGCTATCCACAGCTTGTGTATAGAGTATTTTGTGTCTGGGGAATGTTTTGTGGGGTTTTGTTTTGTCTTTTATTTTTGATTCCTTGGAGAATTTGGTGTTCCTGCTTGTTTTAAGAGGGTGTGAGACCACTGGCTTTGAGACCTTTAGGGTGGTTTTGACTAGAGGAAGAAGTTAGGAGTATCTGGTGATAAGTTTGCTGTCTTTTAGAGGAGCATTCTGAGAAGATTGGAACTAGTTGTGAAAGTTTCCCAGTTAGGTGGGCAGGCTGTCTTAACTTTTCTAGAACTATCCAGGGACTGTCTCTAGATTTAAAACTGCATTTTAGAAAAGTACCATGTTCTCTCTCTCTCTTTGCCCCCCACCCCCTCTGTCTTGTACTTTTGAAACCCTCAAAGGTACTTTACTCAAACTTTAAAATTAAATTGATGTGGTGATGTTTGACTTAAACTGCAGGCAACCTGAAATTAAAGCTGTAGCGTGAACTGCCTGATTGACCTTCACTGAATGTAGCAAACCACATGATAGTGCAAGTGCTTATGAAATGAGATCGCTTCTATGGCACAGTCATCAGTGCCTTGGGTTTCATTTTCTTCCCAGCATTTAACCTTGCCTGGTGTATTTCTAGGTCTTTCTGTGTTAATCTGAAATTACTTCAGCCACAGTTCAGACTGGGCTAACTGCCCAGATGTGTGCAACAAAGCAGTCATTCCCCACTTCCCTCCGTCTACCTGCTTAATTTTTCCTCTTTAATCTACCAGTTGTGTTTGTAGCTTTCAGTTTTTCCTCTGGATTTGGAAAAGGAAACAACATTATGGACTGCTGGCCACACATAGCACATGAGAGTGGTATGCAGTAGCTGGTAAAGGATTCTAGGGATTCTAAAGGATTCTGTCTGTGAAGGGAGTGTTGTATTGTTTTCAAGATCAGGCATCCTGGAGTCTTGAGGAAAAAAAATACAGCTCCAGCAAAAACTTCAGTTTAATAGAATTCTGATTTGTTAATGGCAGTGTTGTAGATTGGAAAGTCAGCCAAGCCTTATAGGCAGTGTCCCTAAGCAGTGATAGCTGCCAAGTTTTGCTGTAACTGAAGAAATAGTTTTGAATGTTATCAGGTGGTGTACTGGGATTGCTACTGCTAGCCAAGTAAAACAACTCTTTTTCCAGCAACTGACAGTTACCAGTAAAGTCAGCATTGTAAAATACAATGGCTACATGTATTTGAAGAAGCTTTTAGAAAAAAATCATGCCTTCTGGATGAAGTTTGAGAGGCACTGGATTTTAATACCGCTGGATGAAGTTTATGAACTATTTCATGCAACATCAAGGTGTTAGCTTTTACTCTAATTTCTCCCCCCTCGACCCCCCCAGAAGAAAACCATGTATCCCTTCTGTAAGCTACTCTGTAACCTCTCTTCTTAATTTTAAAGTGCTTGGGGAAAATGTAAACTTCCTCACTGAAGGAAATCTTTTATGAAAAGTTAAATTGCTTTCATTTGGGTGTTACAGCTGAAGCAGTAAGGGGCAGAGATTTGAAAAGTGTCAAAGTACCAGCATAATGGAGATTATATGCAGCTTTGGCAGTAATGCTCTACACTGTACAGCCTTCCTTTTGGTATTTTATGCATTGACAAAGAGTACTTGCAGTCCTTGCAACTACTGTTATAAATTTAGGTCCACTTAAAAGCAGTTTGGATAACTTTTATTTGCCGATGAAAATTAGAATAGGCACTTTGGAGATCATTAATTTAATTTTTTTTTTCCCCCTCCTTGCTTTGTGGATTTTCAAAAAATGTCAGACTTTCCCATTAAATTCTTTTTTTGGAAAAGTGGACTGGGCTCAAGGTGGAAAATTGGGAGGCAGAAGCAAACGAGCATTAATTTTTTTTTATTATTTTTTTTTTTTTTTTTTTTTAAAAAGGGGGGTATTGAACTTCCAATATTTATTAAACAGCTGGGGTATTGGATGTCGTTGATAAATGTACTGTTGTAAAGACTTTTACTGTATGGCTT